ATATTTCCCAACTGGAAAGAAAAAAAAACTTTGCTAGCTCACTGGGAAAAAAAACAAAACAAGACATCTTTGGTCAAAATCAATCTTTTTGTTGCTACCACTCAAAAAATATATATATTTCAGATATTTAATATAAATGATCCATAAGGTTTTTTTTCATTATTTTTTGACAAAATGCAATAATTGCTAATATTTTGTTTAATACACTTCTCTACACACCATTTTGGGACATAATAGTTGGAGTATATGATTTGTTGGAGCATATGTTGTGGACTGACTGACAACTCAACAAATTGTTGCACAATATATGTAAAATTCATTGAGGTTACATACAGTATTATGTAGACTACAAAGAATTAGCTGTGACAACCATCAAAAATCAGATTGACTCCAAAAAGTTATTTGTTTTAAATGAACAGTTAATAATTACTTTCTGAACATTTGTTTGTAATTCATTCAGCGGTTTATGAGATAAACAATTCCAACAGTTACCAAAGTTTTAAGCAAGGAGGTCGTGCCCCCTAACACGACAATGCATATTGATAAAGTGTGAGTCGGTGCTTTACACTGATAGATATTATAAAATATACAACAGCAAATATTTTGTGCAAAAACATTTGCAAAGATAAAATGTGCACAATGCAGAGAAAAGACTGTGCTGAATATTTAAGCATGCATGWGCAGATCGTTTGTGTCTAACAGGGAGCAGAAGAAAAGGCTGCATCACAGTCTGTCCTCCAGTGTCCTTAGGTGACCTAATGAATTATTGTACGCAAGGAGGAGGGTAGAATCAATGGGCCTTTTTAAAATGTTTCTTTGTGTTTTAATAAACATGCAGCAAGCGTAGAAACAGTTTGTTTTGATGTCACCGTTAAAAAGATTAATCGGATTAATAAAGATGCATTGCTTTATTATGATTAATGCCTCCAGTCTATTGCCACTTTTCATAATTGTAATTGTTTTCAAATCACCTTTGCCAGCACTGATGCTGCACCACAATAAATAATCAAATTATTACTTAATTACATAAGAGCAAGTGTCACATTGGATGTTCTTCATTATGTTAACCTGTCTCCTCACTTCCCTTCTCACATCTCCTCCTGGAATCCCGACTCTGCCAAGTGGGAGAGATGTGATAAAACAGGAAGCGGTAGCTACAAAATGATTTGTTTGGAGTGTTGGTGCACAACGAGGAAAAACTGAGTCACATGTAAGGCAGAGTTTTTTAACTCTAAGTTCTGCCTGGTGAGTAAGTGAGTAAAAAGTGGTCAGCAAAGGTGAGAGTCAGCACAAGGAAAAATATTTACGCATTTCATCTCATTATTAGCACGTCAGAGATACAATGTTAAGCACTGACTGTATTAAACAGAATTTGAAGTGGGCTTTATAAGCCCACGTTAAACCTTTGGAGAGTCATCACAGTGGTGAGGTCAGTCCATTCAGTTTAAGAGACTGAGCTGGACTGAGGCACTCAGAAGGGACCAACTGGAGGTGCACGTTGATAACAGTAAAATGTTTGATCAGTGGTCTTTGATTCGTAACTTTACACACAGCTGTTGTGTCTGTGATGCATATTTACATCCTCATTTAAAGCTTACTTTAATTTGTCTCTGCTTCCATTTGATTACTGTGAACATGTGCAAACAGAACTTCAGTTTTTTAAGTGTTGGTGCAGTAGTTGAGGTATGACAAGCTGTGTATGAAAAAGGAAATAATTGAAGAAATTAACTAGCCATTGTGCATTCCTTTTTCTGTTCCAACTATGAATTTACTGGCTTCATTTCTGGTGTTTTTTTTTAAAACAATGAGTGCAAATGAGGTGCCACAGCGACCAAAGCTGACTTTAGGAGTGTGAGGTTGCATATTTATTGGTTTTTGTGTGTCTGTTGGCTTTGAGATGAGCCAGCATTCTGTTCATGTTGTATTCCACTTCTAACCTGGGATTGGCTCCAGGCCTTCTGAAACCCTGGACAGGACAAACTGGAAAATAAAAGGCTGAAAAATGTGTATATGATCTGCAAAACTAAACCATGTTGAGGAAGTTTTAGAGTTTTTTTTTTTTTTGCCTAAACTACCATCTAAAACACTAACATACTGCATGCATGTTACTTTAATAAAACCTCTCAATAGATCCCCATAAGGAAATATGTAACAGCTACAGTATGCTATATCCAGCAACAGCACTGTTCATTCAACACAATGATGAATTTGCACATCTGTCATTTTTCAGCCTAAAATCCCTAAAGCTAGGAAAATGAAGAGAAAGAGATGAAATGAAATGAAATATGCATCCTTACTCTAGATTAGTACTTTCGAACGTTCTGTTGCAGAGAAAATTTTCCAGTACAAAGTTCGTAAAAAACAYCAGGCTTTAATAAAAACATTTAACTTGGCCTCTTGCTACACATCTGAGACACTTTATCATTGCCACTTCCCTGTTTCATTTTGTAGTTTCCCCCCCCATTTATTCGTGTCTCTAATATTCACTTAGGCCCAGTAATCATTTCCGTCTTCTGTTGCTCTTTTTCTGTATTTTCTTTTCTCTTGGATCAATTTTAAATATTACCTGCCCCTAGAAGAAGCTGAGAAATGATCAATAGTGGCAGGGATTTTAAGAACATTGCGACATAMCTCTTGAGGAAAATAAATAATTGACCTCAAATGCAAATCACCTCTTCTTTGGGACTGTTTAAAGCTCTGGGTGTTTGCTTTAGATGCATAAGTGCCTTGGTGGCTCACCTGTTCCGTGTTCTGTCCTGCACTGCATAATGAATTGTCTTTTAAAGTGTGTATATGTGAAGAGGTTGAAAAAACAACAGCAATCAACCTCAAGAGATATAAAGTAAAAAGAAAGTGGGAACAAAAATAAGCTATGGTGAGAAGAACCAGAAATGTACTGAAATAGATATTTTAAAAATGAAGATTTAGAAAGGAGCATGTGATTTTGATAAAAGTCGTCATCATCCTACCTCAAAGTAAACTGTTCCACGTTCGATTTTGTCCTCATGTAGATGCCAAACGCCACGGTCTTGCCAAGCCGAACTGGACTGGGTGGCACAAGAACYTCTACAATTTCATCCAACTGCAATTTTTCTCCTTTGGCAGAAACTGRGCCCATGCTCATCTCCACAGAACCAGCTTTCAGCATGTCCTGAAGGCCTCCGTCCTCTAAGGGGCTCCACTGTCCTCCAAGACCCATGCCGAGGCCRCCAAGAGGCCCAACGTTCGCACTCGGCGCTTTCCACGGCTCGTTAACAACGGAGGGACACTCTTGGCCTCCTCCCTCCATCGGGATGATCGAGTAATAGACTTCCACTGGTGGTAGAGTCACATCAGGGAGTCGTCTTCTCGCGTGTGATGGCGTAAACCAAGCCGGTGGGATCTCCAGACGGACGACACAGATGCCAGATGGTCCCGTGAGACGGCAGCCTGCTGAAGGCGCTGCTTCACCCATGTCACGGATGGCCAAKGCTCTGATGCACGGCAGAAGAGATGGCAGAGGAGGGTCAGGCTCATCCCAGCGTCGCCCGATCAGATAAAACAGAACCTAAGGAGAGAATGAACACATGAAGGGTTAAAAACCATGTTGGACAGCAAGGCTATAGAAATAAATACATATAAGCAGAAGCAATATACGTTTTCAGCTTTTTTTCTTAAAGGGGCAATATCATGTAAAATCAACTTTTTTGGGTTTTATATCATGTTATAATGTTATACTCTCATAAAAAAACGTGCCCAAAGCCTTGCTTTGACTCATTCATGCATGTCTGAGAAATCCTGCAGTGTTTTTAGGAAGCCATGCTGAGGAGCAAAACGACAGGTGGGGACCAGAAACGCCTTTTGGGACAAGCTCCTCCTCTGGGACGTGTCTTTAAGCCGAGCTTCCTCATCACGGAGCACACCTCCCCATCCCCACCCCCTGCCCATGACTCCTGCAGGTTCTCGGCAGTAGCAAAGCAAACGAGTGAAAGTGAAACTTAAACTGTCTGCTGCTCTCAACATTACTTCTCACTCAGTGAAGCTCTTTTCAGATTCAAAATACCTTTAAGGAAATGTATTTTCAGATGCCAAGTAAACTGCATCATGGCGCACGCGTGACCTCCACCCCCTCCCCCCACATCGAAATGGATGGGATGAAGCGGAAGGTGGTTCTTAAAGAGACAGAGGCCAATTTCAAGGCATTTAGAAGAGGAAGTGATGAGAAGATAAGTTTATTTTCTATTTAAACATAAAAACAGCATTTTAATAACAACTAAAGGTGGCATAGATACTTTATTATGGTATAGTATTTATATTTATGCCTGAGAAACACATAATATTGCCCCTTTTAAAAATGGATGAACAGTCTAAAATATWGCATAGTCCAAAAGTAAGACAAGACAAAATAACATCGATGTTTGGTCAGAAAACAACTACCACTCCTTTTATACAATATAACAAAAAAGATATTGTACCTTATAATAAAGGCAGATAGGAACAAAAATAGACTGACTTCTACTAAAGTGTCCCTATGTTTTTATAATATATATATTACAAAATATAAAACTGCCAATACCTGGATCCACGGTTTTGTTGATCCCACTTTCGGCACCACCACTTGACCTTTGACCCTCCAGTTCAGCGTCACCTGGTTGGTTGAGATCAGCAGATGTGGCTGAGGACCCTGAAGGAGCTCCACGGGGATCGGCTGCTCAATGCTCAGATTTCCGTAGCTGCAATTGACACTGGGCAGGGCCTGCGGAGCGGCGATGCCCGGCTCCAGCTGGTGAAGGAAGAAAGGCTCCATCCGCGATGACAGGCTGCCATTTCGCATGACCTCCTGATTAGCTTCCCGCAGGAAGAAGGCGGAGTCGGCCCCGCTTAGCTGGCACTGGACTGGGAGATAGGTAGGGAGGGAGGAGGAGAAACGAGGCTGGGAAGAGTCCGACCCTCCACCAGGTCCACTCCCTGCTGCTCCGGCTGGGCTGTCAGACACTGAAGGGAGAAAAATGACAGGGGGTGGGCGGGGGTTGGAAATGAGGGGAAAAAGTGAAAAGGGGAATAAGAAGTGGGTGACAGGAAATAGATGATAGAAAAAAAAGGATGGAATGGAGGGGAAAATGTAAAAGAAGATTAATTGCATTATAATTATATAAAAATGTAATGCATATAATGCCCCTGCTGAACGCAGATAATAAATTTAAATAAAATTACAAGGGCATAAATCAAATGCTTGTTTACCTCTGAAAAACATCTTTATTGCGTTCACACACTAATGTAAACATATACACACATCTATCAGCTTTTACAGACAAATTCACACATGCATCACTTCCCACTGACACAGACTGCGGCCATAATATATGGTGTTTTTAACACGTTTTCTCCATGGAGAAATGATGAATACAAACAAGCTCACAGTTGTGTGCACAAATGATTGACTCAGCATCACAGCTTCCATTTATGCATCACTTTTTTTCACACCAATTCAAGGAACAAAACAGCTGCATATTTTAAAAAATGACTTATTGCTCTTTGACAGTTTATTTCCATATATCTACATACACTATTTATTCATTCCCCTGTACAATTACCAGACATTTCATTAACACTGGGAATTTGGATAGAAGGATTACTGGGATTTTGGGAGTAGTATTTCATTTTCAAAGTTGGGATGAAGTTCCAATGTTGCGTTGGGAATTTGAATAACTAATCTTTATCCTCCATCTGTTTGGCTAGCTGGCACTTCAATTTGCAAAGCGCTGAACCACAAAACTGCTCAATTATTTTAACCTTTCTGAGTGTGAATGTTAGCTAAATACCAACATGACCCACAATTAATTATTAGTTGAGCAATTTTTCAAATAGCTTACTTTGTCTTGGTAAAATTTAAACGTCAGTGTTTAAAGTAGACATATCATGCTTTTAAATCCTTCTTTTTTACTTTTAAATCATTCAATTGAGGTCTTTATAAAGTGGAAATGCAATAATTTAGTCGAATTACTTCTCATTTAAAAGTTACCATCTCCTCTTCACCACATTTCTGATGAGTGTCTCAAATTAGCTGATTTTGTTACTGTTCCTGAAGGCGCTTCAAGCCCTGCCCCTTCCAGAACAGTCCACACTGGTTTGAGAGATGGGGTCAGCATTTTGCAATGTGTAGAAACGTTTTAGTTACAATTTCATCAAAATTTACCAACAACAGAAAATTTGCCCTTAGCCTTACATGTTGGAGCCGTTTGACCCAGAACCAGAGTCTAACCAGAGGAGAATTAAGAGAAGGAAATTGTAGTTGATAAATCCGGACCTGATTTGGCACTTCCATTGCAGATCAATAGTTCAGAAAATGTCATAGAAAACAGAAAACTGAACAGGCTGAAAAATGACCCAAATATAAAGATTTCCATGTAAGCACCAGGAGAGACTAAATTMAACTTTTCTGCCTCCTAGAGGCTCCAGGTACACAACAAAATGTATTTAACAGCTGAAAGATTGGATTTTGCGTGATGTGTTCCCTTTAAAGRCCCTGGAACATACATTCTAAAAAATAAAGTGTTGAATTTACCAAACCAAATTATGTCAACAGGTTCCACTAAACCCAGTTGCGCACACTAAGCAATTTACACATTTTGTTGTGTAGAGAAAGAGTTTAATTTGATTTGAATWTACTCAAACTGGCTTAGCAGGACCAGCTGACATAATGTGGTTAGGTACCATTTTTTTAAAGTGCATCTTGAAAACAAGCAAAGTTTAAAACAAGATTTCCCATTAGATTTGTTTTGTTAGACTTTAGTTAGACATTTATTTGGAGAAGTTTTAAAATTWATTTCCCTGCTTTAATTAAACCACAAAAATCATCTATTACAAATTTATTTTTGATGTTTTCTATCAAAATATCCTTTTTTTGCTTTAAGACTGCTTTAATTTGATCACTGTGTAAAAACCCTGCTAATCTGCTAAACATACTGAAGCTACAAGTTATCATGCTTTGTATTTGTTGCTCTTTTCAGTGTTTAAACCAAAACCTACAATAGRAAATATAATTCTTGAGGCTACATTAGATTGATGAGGAGCCTGTGGTGAAGGGTACATGATTTATGGTGAGCATCCATCAGTGAGCAGCATTAACCTGGTGGCAGGAAGTTGTCCTACAGTTGGACTGGTTTAATTCCTGGTTTCTGCCAAGTGCCCAGATGTCTTTAGGGAAAACACTGAACACCCAGCATTCACGCAAAATGTTTATCTTTGTATGAGCGTGAACAATAAAGCCTAATATGGAGACTAACTGCTGTAAATATTGCAATTTCCCTGACAATGATTGGACAAAAGATTTCCACTAAAGCCTTCTTGAAACAAAAAATAAATAAATAAGTAAAATGCACAAATAGTGAAAAAAATATGTGTGGAAATCTCAGTGTATGTATTTTTCGTGTCCTAGGGAAGCCAAGTGTGAAAATATAATGAGCGTGGGACAGAATAGCGCTGTCTGGGGCAAGTCTTACTGAGGCGACTACAAAAAAAAATTAAAATAAAATAAAATAAGAGCAGAGAAATAAACTGATACCTCAGTGTAAAATGAATAAGCAGGCAGGTTTTGGTTATGGTGCGTGGGCACGGAGAGATAAGTTTAAAGGCACAGAGACAAGCAGAGGGAACAGAAGACAGCAAGTGAGCTAAAGAATAAAGGAAAGAAGGAGGTGGAGGAAGTAAAAAAAGGCAACAAAGAAGAAGAATGTGAAAAATATGGTAAAATATCTGCAAAATATTGCACAAAGACAATGGTTTGGATGACTGAAGATAGTGGTATTTCTCTCAGACTCTGTGTCGACATTTAGTGCACCACAAGTGACACCAACTTGTTTTAGGCCTTTTTGAAATGATGCATGCAGGAGGCTGCATGAATAAAACTTAGAACTGAACATTCAGATGGATGCTGACAGGCTAAAAACTTAAAGCAGATCCCTGCAGCAAATAAATATACGTCAAGTTATAGAGGCCATTATCTTCACAGGTTGAAGATCACAGGCAAAAAAAAGGCCGTCTGAAATGGAGTGTACATGTAGTTTGAAAAGAAAGCAATCATTTGATTTAGGTCATGTGGTTAAAAACACGTCGGCACATTTGATCTYACAAGCTCTTCGTTTTCTTTTCCCACCATTCTGGGTGTCCTTGAGGTGGCTGTGCACGTGTTTCTGTAACCACAGGAATCCCACAAAGCGTATGTCTCCGTCTTGTACAGGGACCTTGAACAGCTGACACACAGACATGCAGAGCTTCCTCATGCAGGCAAACGTTGACCCTTGGATGAGATCAGGAGCTGCAGAAAATACGAGTGACTGACGACTTTTCCCTAATTAGGTAATGTTTCTGTTTTCTCTCAATGTCACCCAATTTAAACGAGATTAGAAGTTTGTTTTGTGGCGTCTTTTGCTCGTCATCCTCATGATAGTATGTCAGAACTGAAACCAAACCGTACAACTASTTTGGGAAGCAGGTTTGTGTTTTATTAACACACAGAACTGTTTTGGCTCAATAGGTGGCGCTATGCTACAAGTCAGAGTTGGCACTCCATCATCCTTCCGATGGTATGCCTTTGGCTAACAAATCTGGCATGGTCCAGATTCCCTGGCAACATTATATTGGCAACCAAAAAACACAACAGGAGTCCATACCCGCTGTGTCCTGCTGCACAGTGCATCTGTGTGTGTCCAAGTGGATTTCTGAGCACTCTGATCTTCATAAATGTGCATGCATGGGAAAGTCCGTGTATGCAGCATGCTAAAGACTCCTGAACGCACATATATGTATTCTTGTAAAAGCCTGATGGTGACTGAGAAAGTATACCGAACGTAAACCTGCATGTCTTTATGTGTGTGTGCGTAAACTTGGACAGGAACAGAGCCAGATGTACAGAGATTTGACAAGGCCCATCTGTGATCCTTCCTACCCCTCCACAAAAGTGCCCATCTTGCTCCATTTCCAAGTAGACACACACATACACACACAGCCAGTAATCAAAACACATTGGAGCGTGTAGGACAGGAAGAAAGGGGGAAAAAAGACAACAAGAGCAAAGCCAGATGGGTGTGGGCAAGAAAGAGATTCTGAGGTGTGATAATAGTATCAGTGGTGCTTGATATTGTGTTGCTTAAATATTGAGTCAGATTATTATATTTAATTTGGGAGAGGCACACAAAACCACACATGCACACACTCAGTGGCATCTTTTACATTATCACAAAGTGCCTAAATTTTGTGGAAAACATTTAATGACATGCCTGGAATGACAKGTTATTAACCTGAACAAAGAAAAGAGTTAACACATATTGTAATATAAACACTTTTTTTTTAAATTTCCCCCCTACATCCTTATCTGTGCAGCCAGTCTAGTGTAGTCTGCCGGTTTGTTTTTCTTTTAATGCCTTTAAATTTCTGAGTGCTATTGAACAGAGGTATTATGAGAGTAAACAGGAAAAAAAGCAAACAAAAGAAAGTTCTGCTGCTCAGTATCTACAAATATGAGCTGTTGATCCACACTAAAACGTCCATATTTGAAAAAATAATTTTTTGATGAAAAACATCAAACCGGCAGTTTGCTTTTGCCTGATGCAACACAAGCTGAAAGGAAAATCCATCATGGGAGATTTTTTTTTTTTTTTTGAGAAGAACAGAACAGCTTTGATTAGAAAGATGGCAGACTATCTGAGAGTGAGACAGGATGCAATAGAAAGATGGGGGTGGGAGCTGAAGACAGATGCAGTGAGACAGATATGATTAGAGTTATGGAGGAAAGAAAAGAAGAAAAAGTAGTGAGAGGAGATAACACGGTGAAAAGGGGTGAAAGAGGGATGAGGTTTCTATTTCTGAGCAGCGCATTCATCACAAGAACAGAGCTTATTTTGGTGGTCTCTTCCTCTTGTTCCCTCAACAGTTCCTTCTTTGTCTGTCTCTTTACTTTCCTGCAGAGTCTCTCCTCACTGGTGTAAATCCATCCA